GAGAAAGTGAAGGAACAATTAATGAAACATGAACCTCCAACCTTGTCTTGTGTTCACAGTATCAAAGAAATTAAATGAATCTAGGCAGTGTTATACAAATGCTAAAAGTTGCGGAAAACTATAAAGCCTGAGGGAACCAATCCCATGCAGCAAGATACACAAATATTCACATGAAATCGAGGGGATGCTATGTGGCAATGGTTTCCATTCTCTTCCAGGCTGCGCTCCCCTCGGTTCCCAGGCCACATCCTTAGCGCCGTCCCCACACGCATATCAACACATCTCTTTCTTGGTATTAGGTTTATTTTAACAATTAATCTAACACTATAAACAAGCATATTTATTCCACTAATAAAAATTAACACAGTAAAACTATTTAACAATATCAAAAGGTCAAGCCCCACCCGTGGAATGGTTTGTTTGCAATCGTGTCACTACGATTTCGTGAGTCGAGATGGATGTGCTTGGTGCAGGAACATCAGCTTCTCAACATCAGTCTTGAAAGCATTAAGAAGTCGTAGATTCTCGTTCTACTAAATATGATGTTGGGAAAGTAATAAAGTATCTAGACTTTGTTCCACAGTGCAGGGTAGTGGTCAGAATTTTATTTTTGTAACCAAAAACATGGATATGATTTTTTGAACTTTGACCTCAGTTCAGTGTCATTTTGGATTGAAATCAGTTCTTTCTCCACCTTTCCAGTTTCCTCATTGCTGATATCTAGAGATTGATTGACTACCTAATCTGGTACTTGAAACAAAAAAAATCCTGAAATCTGTCAGACGTGTTTCTTTGCAGCTCTTTCAGGTATGCACAATGCACTTGAAGGTCATCGTCAGTTCAGAGAGGCTGGGAAACTAGAAGAGCTCACGACGGGCTATGTTATGTTTGAAAAACTGTAACCTGGACAGAAAAGCGGAAAAGGTTGATTTGACTTGGATAAGATTAACCTCATTTCCTTGCAGTTGCAAATTAACGTCGTTGAACTTTGTGAATACATCTGGCAAGTTGTGTGATGCTTGATATTTCTTAATCACATAGAACAGAATTGGAATCTTGGAAGAATTCAACAACTGTTTAAAAAAATGGATAGAAACGTCTCAGGAAGTTTCCCTTTGTGTGCAACCACAAACTTTCGAAAACTTTATCATTCTCAGCGTAGAGCTGTCGACGACACAGTTGGGAATTAAGAACATGTTCCTTAATTATATTTACTGCTGTGATGACAGTGTTTAATAATTTGTGAAGTCGACCACTTAGGTTTTATGCAAGCTGAAGTTGCCTGTGGATTACACAACGCACCTTCAACACACCAGGTACAACTTTTTTCAAGAAATTGATGAGGCCACAATGACAGCCTGTCATCGATGGTGCCCCATCTGTTGCACGAGCAATAATGTTAGTAAGATGGATGTCTTTCTCTTCGAAAAAAATCTCAACACGAAATACTAACTCCCCTTTGGTATCTGTTTCTAGCTGTCTTGCAAATAAGTGTTTCTGAAGCAGATTTTCATCTTTGACAAAACGAACACAAGCAAGAAGCAAAGATTCAATGCCTGGCAGAGCAAATTCATCTAACTGTAAGCCAGATTCTGTTGTCTTAAGCATGTACAATATGTCTTCAATGTTTTCAGCCATTTCATCCACTCTTCTTTGAGCAGAGTTATCACTGAGAGGAACAGCTTTAATAATTTGTTCAGAGGATTTGTGTAAAACTGTGTGCAGAACCTCACTGACTGATGAATAAGCACCTCCTCAGTATGATGCACACAAACCATCACTGGATTGTTATGAAATGCTTGCAAACATATTTCCAGTGGTATTCCGTTTCTGTAAGCGACTGAAAATACGCTAAATTTTCTTCTGCTTTATCAGAGTGAATTTTCTTCAGATGTTCAAGAAACCTGAAAGGTTTAATGGCTTCATTTGAAAAGACTCTTTCACACAGTAAGTACATTGTTTGCTGTTGTTTATCTAGTGTTGATGCAAATCCATATTTCAGGTATTTCACACTATATTGACTACACATAATTTTTGTCCGCTGTGCTCATGCCATATTTGAAACTAGAACACAAAAATATGTCTTTGTAAAAATCATGTCAATCACAACAAAATGCAGCAGAAAAAACATAAAGAAATGTGTAGCAATGCATTTACTAGGAAAAGTACGTGACACAATAATAATTGTCTCAATGTTAAACTAAAAATCCAATACTTAAGAACATAAGAAAGAAGGAACACTGCAGCAGGCCTACTGGCCCATGCGATGCAGATCCAATTCTCCCACAGGTTTAAGCCAATGTCTTAGGTCCACACTCTTCAGCGTCCCTCCATCAATACCACTCACTCATATCTTTATTATATTATACTTTGAAATATACATTACAAGACTGAAATAACTTGGAGTGCCTACAAACCTAGAGTCTCGGCCCTTGTAGACGTGATCTGGCTAGCGTGTGACTATTATCCAAAATAACGTTTGGACATTTAACTCCGACTTCCAACCACAAAATAAAATAAAACTAGGCTTTCATGTATAACTCTATGTTAATATTATTCTTTGTAAAACATTTGTGTTATCTAAGTGTTCGTAACTTAGATTTTATCATATAGTACCGCCAACTTTGGGAATCACTGCTCTAAAGTGTAATCGGATAAGAGGCAAAAGTTGAGGAATACAATCAGAAAGATTAAAAATTTATTTTTTTTCTTTAAAACTGGAAGAAGAATTTTACATGGGATTTAACTAAGATTCCATGAAAAGTAAATATTTGATAGTTATTATTTTCTGGTATAATTAAAACAACGTGAATGACGGTAACAGAAAAAGCTGCCAGAAGTATTACAATGCGACCAAATATCTTCTGATCGAAGATTAAGATAATTGAGTCTGGATTTTAAGGCAGAGAAAGTAATAGACACAAAATATTAATAATAGATATCTATTAATAATAGATATCTATTAATAATAGATATTAAAGGTTCAGATTTTAATGGACGATTGACTAACCGGTTTAGTATGACAGAAAGTATAGAACCAACGCAAAAAAAATACCTTAAAATAATGATTAATTTACAATAACGATCAGTACAAAATAATTACTATTATACTGTATAATGATCAACTTTTCTGTCAACAAGATAATCAAGTGAATTTGAATATTTAAATTTTAACCTATGAGACATCATGAAAATAATTCTTCTGGTGATCCAAAAATAAGGTTAATTGTTCCCTTGACTTGTGTTATCTTAAGAGAAAAAACGGAAACCTGGAACATCCTTGAGGGATGGCAGTACTGAGCAGGTATATAAGACGGCAGTCACCTGCCACCAAGCACTTGCACTCTTGCTAAGGTAAAGTGATGGACGAAAGCTGGGAGTCGCTGCCCTCCCATACCTCCACACTGTAGTCACTGCCTTCCCATACCTTCACACTGTAGTCACTGCCTTCCCATACCTTCACACTGTAGTCACTGCCTTCCCATACCTTCACACTGTAGTCACTGCTTATACCACCACACCGTAGCATTATCATACCACAACTCATCAGAATAAAACTCTCACACAACACAACTCTGAAGTGCGTCACTCTCACACAACACAACTCTGAAGTGCGTCACTCTCACACAACACATCTCTGAAGTGCGTCACTCTCACACAACACAACTCTGAAGTGTATTGCTCAGTCATTGTTGTTCATTAGTGAAACGCCGTGAAGAATTTTGAATGGTATAATTATCTTTCAGTGGTTACCGTTTATAGTACAACTTCCTTTGGTGAGTCGCTGTTGCTCTTAATTACCTTATTTGCTCTCTAACTATATATATATATATATATATATATATATATATATATATATATATATATATATATATATATATATATATATATATATATATATATATATATATATATATATATATATATATATATATGTCGTGCCGAATATGTAAAACTGGTCAATTACCAAGAACTCATTTAAAATTAAGTCATTTCTGAAATTTTCTTTTATACTTTTAAAGATGTATTTTTTTCATTAATGTTAATGTAAAAATTTTTAATTTTGCACCAAAAGAATCTTAGAAAACTTACCTAACCTTATTATAACAAGAACAATTTATTTTAGCCTAACCCAACTAAATATGTTTTAGATTTGTTTACAGTAATTTAATACTAAACAGTGAAATATATTTTTTCGTTAGGTTCAGAATGATTTTGGCGAAATTATTGCATACACAAATTTTCACTTGTCCTATAAGACAAGATGAGCGTTGCTATGTAAGCCAAGATCGCAAGTTCTGCCTATTCGGCACGACATTATATATATATATATATATATATATATATATATATATATATATATATATATATATATATATATATATATATATATATATATATATATATATATATATATATATATATAAAGAGAGAGAGAGATTATAAGATTATTTCCACCGTCCTAAACGTATTAGCAAATACTCCGCGTGTCATGCATATCAGACTGTCTCTATCATGCTAAGCAGACATTTGTAACTCAGAATGATGAAAGTGTTGCTACTCTGTTTTGTTTTACCAATCAAGGATTTGCATTACAGATGAAGACTGTGCTATTGATCGCTTTGATAGCTGTGGTGACCTGTGAGCCACCTTCCCCGAACCATATCCGCTTTCCTCCTCAGCCAATTCGCCGTCGGCCTCAACCAGTTCACCGCCGTCCTCAACCATTATAGAGAACTCCCCTAGGAGGAGGTTTCCAGGTTCAGCCAAGGTTCCCGTCACGACCCAGACCTGCACCTCAACAGATTTCGTCTGGCGTCTCCGTGAGTAGTTCTTACACATCCTCTTTATATTCCTCCTCAACTCTTACTTATATTTCTTTAAGAGAAATGATACAATTTTTTCACCATTTTCATAACTCTGTTTATTAGTGTTTAATTTTGTGAAAATGAATAATAATAAATAAAGTGAAAATTGGATATAATTGGTTAGATAACATCATGTCAGGTAATGGTAACAACTTTTCTGTCTCAGTGCTGGAGGTAATGATGCTGGGAAGTTCAGGAGAGAAGGGTTGCTCGCTAAGTATAAAGCAACTATTGTTCTAATTAGGGCGATGGTAGGGATTCCAATCATAGGTATCTTATTGTCTACACAAGGCGTGGGCAGTAAATTTGTCTTTGTGCAACTTGAATAAACAACTGCCTAGAAAATTACTGCATGGAGCTTGTAATTCCACTCGCCGATAACTGGGATAATTTCTACAGTAAACATGATTATGCAAAGGATGGGGTGCATCTCTCTGGGGCAGAGATGGAAGCATTAACCAGGTTAGTCGATGAAACTGTTGACAAATTGTGATAGACTTTAAATTGATAGATGATAAATATATGCAAGACAGAAGAGAGATGAGAAACGAAGGGGGTTGCAGTACTAGACGGAGAGTAAGAAATAAAATAGACGAGCTAAAATTAATTGCATATGGAAGACACATGGATATTAGTTCAATAACCAAGACCTGACTCAGTCTGAAATTTCCGAATTGACAATATCAACAAAAACGAGAGCGGAGTGACTTGGTATGTTAGGAGAAATTTAAATTGTTAAATCAAACCGGAAAAAATATAGATGAAATCTGTTTGGTTGCAGTTTTTCGAAGGGCTTAAAAATATTTTAGGTGTAAATCGAAAGCCTAGATAGTGACCACGATGAACTACGGGACGAAAATGATGAGAAATCAATCTACGAAACTTTAGTTTTCATTGGAGGATTTTTACCTTTGTTCAAAATGAAACAGATTGATAGGAAATCTACAATGTTCTGATTTCTTAGAAATGATCCACGACTGTTTTTTTTTTTTCCTAAAGTTCTACATAAACTGCAAAGTTGAGGGAATAATAAGTGACAGAATAAAGCTTACCGATGGCACTAAAACAGGTCATCGGATAATTTCTAATGAAGATATTAAAAACCTGAAGGATGACTTGTAAATGTTAATATGGTCGAACAAGTGACAGATGATTTTCCATGAATAAGTAAGTAAGTTTATTCAGGTATACACAAATACAGTTACATAGAATTATCATACATAGCAGCATATGTGTAGCATATGAAGACAGATGTCATGTTCTAATCTTCGATAAAGAAAATATTAGCTAAATTATGTGGATGTATTCGTAATAAAACTAATAGGATTGTTGGCTTCGTATCTATAAGAGAGGAATCCTATTAGTTTATTGTGATAAAATCCTGAGGTTAAACTTAACTTTAAATATCTTTGGTAAGGCCTCATTTACATTTAGATTAAGCTGTTCAGTTTTGATCTCCATATTACAAATTAGACAAAAATGTGCTGGCAACTATACAGGGAAAGGTGAAGCTGATTTAATGTACCAGTAATCTCCCCTACGAAAGTATTGAAAATGCACTGTCCGGACAGAAAACATAGCTAAACAGAGGATATTTAGAATATTTAATCAAGAGAAGATTCGAGGCAAAGGATTCGAGAAGGATAAATTTAGACTCAGAAAGGATATTGTTTAGCAACAGAGTTGAAGATGAGTAGAGCAGACTCTCACTTAGTCCCTAGCATACTTTAACATCTCTAGTTTAGTGCTCAGTTTTATATTCTAGTAACAATATATTAATATTTATCACTAATTAGAAATATTTAAAGAAATATGAATAAAGTTAATTTTCATTCAAAGGTTGACGCCACACTGGGCCGCAGTGAATACTACTTCTCATGGAGACACGACGGTGGAAGGAAGTACACTGGCACTGAAGCTGCCAGGGTATGTACCAGTCTGGGCAGGGGATGGCAGCCCATAGGCATCAGTTCCAGGGAAGAGATCGCCTTCGTTATTAGTGTTGTTGGAGGAGGTTAGTCTAACATGTATTCCATCACACTCACGTGATTTTAATATATTTTACTAGTATTCGTTCTTGCGTTATCAAGTTGGACATTTACGAGAAGCGGTAAGCCCTTGTGGACCATTTCGCAAAGGGCGTATTGAAAGTTTCGTCCTCAAAACTAGAGATAGTCTGAGACAAATAATTTATATTACCGATCACACAAACTATCCCCCCACCAATAATAAAAAAAAAACTGCATATCTAACAAGATTATTCCCAGAGTTAGCACACACCAGGACCACAACACTGAGACTACACCAGACCTGGACACACTAGGGCCATAACACTGATACTACACTAGATCACCTAGACACACCAGTACCACAATACTGAGGCTATACAAGACCTAGACGCACCAAGACCACAAGACTGAGACTATACCAGAGTTAGCATAATTTAACAAACCATGAGGATCAAGGGAAGAAAACATGTATTGCTCCCTGCCCTATCTAATCAATATACATCTTATCAATAAACTAAAAAAATAATAGAATATTTACTTACGTATATGTGGATCTTGGAACGTCTCGGAAAATGGGAAGCAGTCTTTATTAAAACTAGGAAAGAAAGAAAACAACAATTCTTAGCTTCATGTTCCCTTTTCGGGGGTTAAGGCATCGATCTCCCTTCAAGAGACATATTGAATGAAGATACTTAGAATTCCTCCAAAATAAAGTAATTTTGTTTTGCCACTTTTTATATATAGATTTATATTTGTTACAGATCGTGTGGAATACATCTGGACTGGTGGTGTGAGGTCTGGCTCAGGATTTACCTGGTTGAATGGTGAACCATTCACTGTTGATAACTGGTCACACACTGGAGGGTAAGTTGTCCACACACACACATACACACACACACACACACACACACACACACACACACACACACACACACACACACACACACACACACACACACACACACACACACACACACACAGGAACCATATATAGCTTTAAGACAATGTATGACAAAGCTCAGGAAGCAGAGAGAGAGAGGACCTAGTAGCGATCAGTGAAGAAGCGGGGCCAGGAGCTGAGTCTCGACCCCTGCAACCACAATTAGGTGAGTACAATTAGGTGAGTACACACACACACACACACACACACACACACACACACACACACACACACACACACACACAGTGGAACAGAAGCACAGATTCGACCCCTGCCACCTCATATATACGTGACTAAACACATGCCCATACTTGCACAATCTCTTGGTTCTTCATTAATAAGATCACCTTATATTGGAATAGCCCTTAGAATCCTAACCAGGAACATCATAAGGCACTCTTCATAAAATGGATACTTAAGACCATTTCTCGAATATGTGGCTCCAGTGTTGAGCCTCTACGTAAAAAACGTAAAAAGGAAACTAAAGAAATCACACATACGTTCTCAACGTGCAGTAATACTCAGAACCAAACCTATGTAAAAACATATGGTATATAAACCATACCACGGGCGGGATTGAACCCGCGGTCAGAGAGTCTCAAAACTCCAGACCGTCGCGTTAGCCACTGGACCAGCTAGCCACAATTGTAGGTTCAATCTCGCCCGTGGTATAGTTTGTTTGCAATCGTGTCATTACGATTTCGTGAGATATATGGTATATCTCACGAGGGTGAGATCATGCTGAGGGGGAAGAAGCACTTTAGAATCTGAAAAGCCAGATGTCCCTAAAAATCAGAATTTTAAGATTAAGAGGTGAAACCAAAAGCTGAAGCTCTTGGCTTCACCGCTTGAATTATATAGTGAGACTCAAGAATGAATATAAATATAAACATGCAATATTAATAATTAAAGAGACAGACACTTTAATTATCTTAGAGATTAAAGAAACATTAGTTACTAACCATTAACTGTATATTTATTAAACTATATTTATATATTCATTAGGAATCTTGACCTCTTATTATAAATAAGTGAAATAGTGAATTCAAAGTAAAGAGAGTTGAGTGTCATTACGGCTGTTTAGTGATATACAGCAGACTTAGCAGGCCTAGCAGGCCTATCATTATATAGATATAATATAGAGATTGTTGAGTAAAGAAATGCAATTGTGTGTTTCATGAGGTTTGATTTGTGTTACAGACTCGGCAGACCTCAACCTGACAACCGCGAGAATGGAAACGAGAACTGCCTGTCTGTGCTAAACAACATCTACAATGATGGCATCTTATGGCACGACGTGGCGTGCCACCACCTGAAGCCCGTCATCTGTGAGAGACACATTTAACTCCCTCCTCTCACTTGCACACCACGACTCCCTAAATTTATCAAGATCCACAACACTTGTTCTATTTCTCCCGTAGACAAGGACAAGAAAATATAATTATTTTGGAATACCAAGTACATTCTCCATTATTAATCTTATATATTTATTTGTCAAATTTTATGTACATAAGAGTTATTCTATTAACTCTTAAAATGTATAAAAAATAAATTTATTTCTTATTACGTTTCTAGTATCACGAATGCCTGCGGACTTCGAAGCCTTCGGTATCCAACCCCGTCAGGTTTAGCTCCTTCAGCATCTTCAGCATTTCAAATAATTTTGGAGCCAAGCTTTAAACCTGTAAAAATATATTTTAGGAAATTTAACTAAGTTTTTACCAAAGGCATTGATACAAATATTTTTAAAAAATTTCAATATAATTTGACCAATGTGTTCAATTTCTTTACGATGTCAAAGCACCTCAAAATTATATTCAAATTTTACTTCTTGCAATATATTCAGAAAGAAAAAAACATCTCCAGTACAGCATCGCATCCAGTTCCTCCAATACTTACAGATCATCTAATATTTAAAATCTCTTTCCATCCTGTAAACATTAGTACCTCAAATTCCTCTAAAATGTTTAATCCTTCAGTCAACTCGTGAACCTCCGGCACATTCGGTAAGTCCAACACCTTTAAAAACTCGACAGCCAAGTTATAAACAACACTGTCTGGAGATTACCTGGAGAAGGTTTTGGGGGTCAACGGCCCCGCTGCTCGGTCTGAGACCAGGCCTCATGGTGGATCAGGGTCTGAACAACCAGGCTGTTACTGGTGGCCGCACGCAAACTGACGTATGAACCACAGCCCGGTTGGTCAGGTACTGACCTTAGGTGCCTGAACAGTGCCTTCTTGAAGACAGCCAGGGGTCTATTGGTAATTCACCTTATGTATGCTGGGAGGTAGTTGAACAGTCTTGGGCCCCGGACATTTATTACAGGATTTAGTAAATATTACATTAGCGACAGTATGAGCGGACTGCAAAAACAATCTGAAGGTCATTTTATTGTGAACATAGCATTATTGTATACACCAAGATAAAGGGTATTGTTCGAAAAAGTCAAGGTGACTAAAAAGAAGAAACACTTTCATTATCATTCACACTAACACTGCCTTGCCAGAGGTGCAGCTGCATTACTGTTAAAAACCTGCAACATATCAACACCCTTCCTTCAGAGCGAAGGCACTGTACTTCCTACATAAAGAACTAAAACTCGGATAACCTGTTTCCCTGAATCCCTTCATAAATGTTACCATTCTCACACTCCAACAACACGTAAAGTCATCAAAACCATTTGTCTCCACTCGCTCCTAACACGCTCACACACGCTTGCTGGAAGTCCATGCCGCTAGCACACAAAACGTCCTTTACCCACTCCTTTCAACCTTTCTTAGGACGACCCCTACCCCACCTTCCTTACACTGCAGATTTATACGTCTTCCAAGTTATTTAGTTTTCTCCCTCTCTTTCAAAAAGTCCAAACCACCTCAAGTACCTCTCCCCGGCCCTCTAGAAAATACTTTTAGAAACCCTGTATAAACACACACACACACACACACACACAAATATATATATATATATATATATATATATATATATATATATATATATATATATATATATATATATATATGTATATATGTATATGTATATATATATTCTGAATTAAAATAAGGGTTCAATGCAAAAGGTGGGTCATAATAAGTGTGCATGCACGTGGAGAAGAAGAGAAAGTTTTGGAATGAGATTAATAAGTTTATGATGCCTAGTGAACGAATTGATTTGATAGTTAAAAATTGTAGAGAAAGAGTTAATAAATGAAGAGTTAGAAGTATCAGGAAGATGCTGGGAATATTTTTCGGAATTGCTAAATGTTGCTGAAGATATATATATATATATATATATATAATATATATATATATATATATATATATATTATAATATATATATATATATATATATATATATGTATATATAATAAATAACTACACTGCGACTAGCTAAGGACTCGAACCCATGTTGATTTGGTCCGCTTCATGGTGAGCGAAAATCGCATAATGCTCTAACACCAAATCCTACAAGAATCATGCACCCATCAGTGCTAGGTCTTTTACCGAGATCCGAAGACATATGGTGATGTTGGTGCCTCTGAGCTAATTTCATTCTACTTCCCGTTTGGTGTACTAGCCTTGAATAGCATTATTTTATATTATTAGCTAAGAGGCACCCACACCAATGTATGTCCTCAGATCACGGTAAAAGCATCTAAGTCTGCTGGGTGTATGATTCTTGTAGGATTCGGTGGCCCTATTTTTGCTTACTATGAGGCGGGCCGAAACAACGTGGGTTCAAGTCCTTGGGTAGTCGCAGTGTTGTTATTGATCAATACCACTTGTTCGTGGTTGCAGTAATATAAAATACTGCTTGTTGAGGTTAATACACCAAACGGTGAGTAGAATGAAATTAGCTCTGAGGCACACACACCACCGTGTGTCCTCGGATCATGGTAAAACACCTAGCTCCGCTGGGCGCGCGATTCTTGTAGGGTTTGGTGTTCCTGTGTGTTAGAGCATCATGTGGTTTTCGCTCACAATGAAGCAGACCAAATCAACATGGGTTCGAGTCCTTAGCTAGTCGCAGTGTAGTTATTTATTATTATTATATATATATATATATATATATATATATATATATATATATATATATATATATATATATATATATATATATATATATAATATATATATATTATATATTCTGAATTAAAATAAGTGTGTATGCACCTGGATAAGAAGAGAAAGTTTTGGAGTGAGATTAATAAGTTTAGGATGCCTAGTTAACGAATTGATTTGATAGTTAAAAATTGGAGAGGAGAGTTAATAAATGAAGAGTTAGAAGTATCAGGAAGATGTAGGGAATATTTTGAGGAACTGCTAAATGTTGATGAAGATAGAGAAGCTGTGATTTCGTGTATAGGGCAAGGAGGAATAACATCTTGTAGGAGTGAGGAAGAGTGAGTTATGAGTATGGGGGAAGATCGTGAGGCAGTGGGGAGAATGAAAGAGGGTAAGGCAGCTGGGATTGATGGGATAAAGAGAGAAATAGCTAGCCCATTCAACTCACACAATGAGGTCCGGCGGTTCACTTCACCCGGTACGGTAGTAAACATTAGAACGTGTTTCCTCAAGGCACGTGCTGTCCATGTTATCTTATCAGTAAAATGGGTACATGGGTCTAAGCCGACTGGTTTGGGTTGCATCCTGGGACAAAATTGATCTAATTTACCTGAAATGCTCTGCATAACAAAGGGCTTTCTAGAAATATAGTAGTATGTCACTGATGTCAGCTATGATCCGTATACCTTGTACGTGTACTTGTAGAAATAAAGAAATTATTATTATTAAACATATAAATACCAGAGGGTTTTGGAAGTTATCGGAGTTATTTCATGATGCTTGGAATGGGTTCAACACCTTTGGTTATAGAGTACCTGCACTTGCTAAGTCTTCCAAGAATATTACTCTAATCGCTGAACAGGAGCCTTAGAAAAACTGAAGACGATTGAAAGAGAGTCAGCAGGAAGTTTGCGTCAATGGGGAGAAATGAGAATGGTGTGTATCACAAGTCGTGTTCCACAGGGGTCAGTGTTGGGCTCTTTGTTGTTCACAATTTATATAGACGACATTGATGAGGGAATAAATAGCGACATAAGCAAGTTTGCTGATGACACCAGAATAGGACGCCTAATTCATTCTAATGAGGACATTAGACCACTCCAGGAAGATTTTAATAGACTGATGCTGTGGTCGGAGAAGTGGCAGATGCAATTTAATATAGACAAATGCCAAATTCTAAATATTGGACAACCATGCCACATATAAATTAAATAATATATATCTTAATATTACTGAATGCGAAAAGGATTTGGGAGATCTAGTTAGCAGTAATCTAAAACCAAGACAACAATGCATAAGAGTCCTCAGGCTGTTCTTCAACTCTATGTATCTTTGCTGAGGCCTCATTTAGATTACGCTGCTCAGTTCTGGTCACCGTATTACAGAATGGATAATAATGTACTGGAAAACGTACAAAGGAGAATGACAAACTTGATCTCATGTATCAAAAATCTTCCCAATGAGGATAGACTGAGGGCCCTGAATCTGCACTCTCTAGAAAGGCATAGAATTATTGGGGATATGACTGAGGTGTATAAATGGAAAACAGGAATAAATAAAGAGAATATAAATAGCATGCTAAAAATATCTAGCCAAGACAGGACTCACAACAATGGTTTTAAGGTGGAAAAATTCAGATTCAGAAAGGATAAAAGAAAACACTGGTTTGGTAATAGAGTTGTGGATGAGTGGAACAAACTCCCAAGTACCGTTATAGAAGCTAAAACGTTGTGTATTTTTAAAAATAGGATGGATTAATACATACGGTAATACAGACCGTAGTAATTCACTATATATGATGCTTTCATAATAAAGTTGTTAGCTCTGTCGGTGAGATGATATTACTCAAAACATCTCCAATCACCGAGACGTGATATTTAAATCACGTCATTAGAAAAAAATATTTATATTTGGGCGGAATCTGCTTAAAATTGTGTAAGAGTTTGAAAATAATAGAACAACCATTGTTTTTCACATCAAAATTCACTAAACCATACATGATCTTAATTAAGTAAATTTTGATTGTAATGTGTTTACTGATGTACAGAGGAATAACTGGAAAGATAATGATTACTGAAGATAAGTGAAGTATGTTATTTCTCATTTGGGTCTGCTGCGATTTTCGTGATAATTAATTATTGATTTTAGTAATATTACTATAAAACTGAAACTAAATCTGAAAGTTGACGTCAACAGTAGAAGGGAACAAGTGTTCTTATTAGGAAGTCAGAAAAACAAAGTCAAAGAGAAAAGGGGGGAGACATCAAGAACATTTTCTGAACATCTGAACACACCAGAGAACACAAATTATTGGTAACTCAGTTTTGGATAGGAAAGAGAAGAGCAATTATATAATATTATGCACAAACTATTTAGCACTAGAAAAAAATTTGAATAAATTGTACTGACTCAGTGAATATGACTTAATTCAATAATATTGAAGGTCAGAATATTGTGTGGTGTACAGAGGCAGTGTCTTTCAGAAAGAATTAGCGCACAGGAAAACGATTTCCCGTAAATAATAATGAGCATACAGTAAGAGTAAACACCAATAAACTATAGAATGACCAACAGATTGTAATTACCGTAATTGATTCTGTAATAAACATAATATAAAGAACAACAACATCCTGAGACCAACCAAAATGCAGTTATTACTTGCTTATTGTAAAGGTGTTTTTATACATAACACACTCGTGGATATTCACTTAAATCAGGTGAGGCTTTGAAATATATTTTCTTCTGTTAATATGAAAACGTTGTAAACTCGAACTAAAACACTGAAAAAGAACTTTATCCTTCTTAACTAAACTTTATGGTGATCACAGATGAGGAAGATTTAAACTTTTATCATGTGAGATTTCATGTGAAAGTCATGCTCATGCTGATCTAGATATAAGAAGGTTAGGTTCTCACATTACTTGTGTTAGGCTACGAGGAAAGGCGGAGTCATGGAATATCCTTGAGTGAGTGCAGTACTGAGCAGGTATATAAGACCACTCCAAGCATCCACCAAACACTTACACTCCCACTAAGGTAAGTATTGGACGTAACCCACAGTGTAGCATTATCACAACACAACTCTTCAGTGTTTCACACAACACAACTCTTCGGTGTTTCACACAACACAACTCTTCAGTGTTTAACTCTCACTCAATGCAGCTCAACATGTTACCTCTTTCACACCTCACAACTTTTTACATAATTTTACAAACGTGTTCAGGAGCAACATTTACTACAAAATTTCCTTCAGGCTATAATATTTCCACAGTGTCAAGCAGACAAGCATTTATCACCCTTCTTGATCATTTCTGGTATTAAAAGTCTGGGACTTACTCAGGAAACAATTGTGGTGAAAATATTGAAATTCCGTAACTGAAGTAATTCTCATAAACACCTAATAATTAGCAAGAGAAAACTACGTACGTAGTTTTTGATAATTATCCACGTTGATCGTGGATAATTATCGAATCAATTTTAGTTTATTAATGTCCCTTAATGAGCTGAAATGCTGTCTTAAGTTCCGCTTCAAAGTTTGGTTTATTTGAGAAAATATTACGTAGCTTCTCATTATAACGTTATAAATTAAGGACTTACATTTCAGATGAAGATTGTAGCGCTGCTGCTGCTGGCTCTGCTGGGGTTGGTGGTCTGCGAGCCTCCGCCTCCACACTTCAACCGTTTCTTCCCTCAACAAGTCCAACAACGACCTCAAACATTCCACCGCCGTCCTCCACCATTCCAGAGACCTTTCCAAGGTGGCGGCTTCCAGACTCGACCAAGATTCCAGTCTCCACCCAGACCTGCACCTCAACAGTTTTCATCTGGAGGAGCGGTAATTTTCTTCCTAAGCATTAACTCATATTCCTTTTAAGTTTTAACCATTTTTTTTTTCATTAAAATTGTTGTTTAAGACGAAAACGTTTTAAAATATAGTGTTTCTCAACGTGTTAATGTCAACAACTAGGCAACAATTGTCGTATTTTTTAATGTAAGTCCTTGAAAAACAATAATTACTATCAAATAATCATGTAATATCTATAAATAAACCGAGTAATATGTCTCAAAGGAAGAATAATTTGAAGTGATTTGAGTTACGTTTATGTTGTTAGGTTGATGCCACTCTGGGCCGCAGTGAATATTACTTCTCTTGGAGACACGACGGTGGAAGGAAATACACTGGCACTGAAGCTGCCAGGGTATGTACAAGTCTGGGCAGGGGATGGCAGCCCATAGGCATCAGTTCCGGTGAAGAGATCGCCTTCGTTATTAGTGTTGTTGGAGGAGGTTAGTCACTCTTAACATTTGTTCCTTCACACTCTTAAGATTTTTGTACATTTTACATCAAGTATTTTCCCACACTGATTTTTTTATTTACTTAAGGCGCTAAACCCGTGTCGGTCATTTATTGTAAGAAAAGCTGGATGATCACTTCCTGAGTTGATGCAAGTGAAAACTTAGAGTAAGAAATAATTCTTTCTTCTAAGTTTGTCTTCTCAACTTCAGACACCATTTTCCTAAAATTGTTAAATAATACTTTACTATACAAATTGATCAATAAGCACGACTCTAAGTTATAAATAAATGACTTTCTAAAAATTTGTCTTCCGCTTTTACATTTTTACACCATTTAAAATAGTAAGAAAAAAAGAGTTTTTTCATCTAGACTAACTAGAACACATCAGTTATATGTTTACTGTAATATTGCAGCTGATTTTAGCAGAACTCTTGCGTACAAAACAATTCTCGTCAAAATTACTACAGTGCCAGGATGGCACTGTGTAGTGCCTGTCACCAGTAGGATCTCATTTTAATCCCCAGTCAATAACTATGATAATTGTTCATTATAAAATTGTCTGGATTAAATAACTGTTTTTTTTTAAATCTTTCTAAACTATTTTGTAAAATTATTCGCATGAATTTATATTTGTTAACAGACCGAGTTGAGTACATCTGGACTGGTGGTGTGAGGACCGGCAACGGTAATGAATTTATCTGGGTGAATGGTGAACCTTTCACAGTGAATAATTGGTCACACACAGGAGGGTAAGTTGTACACATTTACATCAGTGAAGAGGGGGGGGGGGCAGGAGTTATGACTCGAACCCTGTAACCTCATGTGGGTGAGTACATACACACTTGCTCCATCGTTTGTTTAAGCCGAACTATTTACTGATAAAATAACATTTAGAAATCTATATAAAAAATCATTCAGATTCATTTCACCACAAAATTATGTAAGAAAATGAAAACTATTTCACGTCTCAGGAAGATCTTACAAAAAATTTATTTGTTCGCTACATACTTAATACTCTTGTGTACATACACAATAAACATCAGAGAGACCGAGGGGAGGAGACATTAATGGAATCTGAAGATCCAGGACAAATTATGTTTATATATTTATTTATAACACAAAGGAAAATTACGCAATTACAGGGTGAATCACATGATTCAACTGTTCCATAAGTACTAAAAAGACCGACATACAATTACTATGTATAAGAGAGATGAGTGTGTCACGATAGTACATTAGCATTACACGCTCAGCATTCTTATTATTATTCGGAAGAGTTAAATAAAGTGAGAGTCGTGTGTTTCATGAGGTTTGGTTTGTGTTACAGACTCGGCAGACCTCAACCTGACAACCGCGAGAATGGAAACGAGAACTGCCTGTCCGTGCTAAACAACATCTACAATGATGGCATCTTATGGCACGACGTGGCGTGCCACCACCTGAAGCCCGTCATCTGTGAGAGACACATTTAACTCCCTCCTCTCACTTGCACACCACGACTCCCTAAATTTATCAAGATCCACAACACTTGTTGTATTTCTCCCGTAGACAAAGACAAGAAATATAATTATTTTGGAATGCCAAGTACATTCTCCATTATTAATCTTATATATTTATTTGTCATATTTTATGTACATAAGAGTTATTCCATTAACTCTTAAAATGTATAAAAAATAAATTTGTTTCTTATTACGTTTCTCGTATCACGAATGCCTGCGGACTTCGAAGTCTTCGCTATATCCAACCCCGTCAGGTTTAGCTCCTTCAGCATCTTCAGCATTTCAAATAATTTTGGAGCCAAGCTTTAAACCTGTAAAAATATATTTAAGGAAATTTAACTAAGTTTTTACCAAAGGCATTGATACAAATATTTTTAAAAAAATTCAATATAATTTGACCAATGTGTTCAATTTCTTTACGATGTCAAAGCACCTCAAAATTATATTCAAATTTTACTTCTTGCAATATATTCAGAAAGAAAAAACATCTCCAGTACAGCATCGCATCCAGTTCCTCCAATACTTACAGATCATCTAATACTTAAAATCTCTTTCCATCCTGTAAACATTAGTACCTCAAATTCCTCTAAAATGTTTAATCCTTCAGTCAACTCGTGAACCTCCGGCACATTCGGTAAGTCCAACACCTTTAAAAACTCGACAGCCAAGTTATAAACAACACTGTCTGGAGATTACCTGGAGAAGGTTTTGGGGGTCAACGGCCCCGCTGCTCGGTCTGAGACCAGGCCTCATGGTGGATCAGGGTCTGAACAACCAGGCTGTTACTGGTGGCCGCACGCAAACTGACGTATGAACCACAGCCCGGTTGGTCAGGTACTGACCTTAGGTGCCTGAACAGTGCCTTCTTGAAGACAGCCAGGGGTCTATTGGTAATTCCCCTTATGTATGCTGGGAGGTAGTTGAACAGTCTTGGGCCCCGGACATTTATTACAGGATTTAGTAAATATTACATTAGCGACAGTATGAGCGGACTGCGAAAACAATCTGAAGGTCATTTTATTGTGAACATCGTATTATTGTATACACCAAGATAAAGGGTATTGTTCAAAAAAGTCAGGGTGACTAAAAAGAAGAAACACTTTCATTATCATTCACACTAACACTGCCTTGCCAGAGGTGCAGCTGCATTACTGTTAAAAACCTGCAACATATCAACACCCTTCCTTCAGAGCGAAGGCACTGTACTTCCTACATAAAGAACTAAAACTCGGATAACCTGTTTCCCTGAATCCCTTCATAAATGTTACCATTCTCACACTCCAACAACACGTAAAGTCATCAAAACCATTTGTCTCCACTCGCTCCTAACACGCTCACGCACGCTTGCTGGAAGTCCATGCCGCTAGCACACAAAACGTCCTTTACCCACTCCTTTCAACCTTTCTTATTACGACCCCTACCCCACCTTCCTTACACTGCAGATTTATACGTCTTCCAAGTTATTTAGTTTTCTCCCTCTCTTTCAAAAAGTCCAAACCACCTCAAGTACCTCTCCCCGGCCCTCTAGAAAAAAAATACTTTTAGAAACCCTGTATAAACACACAAACACACACACACACACAAAATATATATAAATATATATAATATATATATATATATATATATATATATATATATATATAATATATATATATATATATATATATATATATATATATGTATATATATATTCTGAATTAAAATAAGGTTCAATGCAAAAGGTGGGTCATAATAAGGGGTGTATGCACGTGGAGAAGAAGAGAAAGTTTTGGAGTGAGATTAATAAGTTTATGATGCCTAGTGAACGAATTGATTTGATAGTTAAAAATTGTAGAGAAGAGTTAATAAATGAAGAGCTAGAAGTATCAGGAAGATGTAGGGAATATTCTTAGGAATTGCTAAATGTTGCTGAAGATATATATAAAATAATATATATAATATATATATATATATATATATATATATATATATATATATAAATATATATATATATAATATAATATATATTATATATATATATATATATATATATATATATATATATATATATAATGTATATATAATAAAAAAACTACAAATGCGACTAGCTAAGGACTCGAAACCCATGTTGATTTGGTCCGCTTCATGGGGAGCGAAAAAACGCATGATGCTCTAACACACAGGACCACCAAATCCTACAAGAATCATGCACCCATCAGTGCTAGGTCTTTTACCGAGATCCGAAGACATACGGTGATGTTGGTGCCTCTGAGCTAATTTCATTCTACTTCCCGTTTGGTGTACTAGCATTGAATAGCATTATTTTATATTATTAGCTAAGAGGCACCCACACCAATGTATGTCCTCAGATCACGGTAAAAGCATCTAAGTCTGCTGGGTGTATGATTCTTGTAGGATTCGGTGGCCCTATTTTTGCTTACTATGAGGGGGGCCGAAACAACGTGGGTTCAAGCCCTTTGGGCTAGTCGCAGTGTTGTTATTGATCAAAAACCACTTGTTCGTGGTTGCAGTAATACAAAATCCCTGCTTGTTGAGGTTAATACACCAAACGGTGAGTAGAATGAAATTAGCTCTGGGGCACACACACCACCGTGTGTCCTCGGATCATGGTAAAACACCTAGCTCCGCTGGGCGCGCGATTCTTGTAGGGTTTGGTGTTCCTGTGTGTTAGAGCATCATGTGGTTTTCGCTCACAATGAAGCAGACCAAATCAACATGGGTTCGAGTCCTTAGCTAGTCGCAGTGTAGTTATTTATTATTATATATATATATAATATATAATATATATATATATATATATATATATATATATAATATATATATATATATATATATATATATGTATATATATATTCTGAATTAAAATAAGTGTGTATGCACCTGGATAAGAAGAGAAAGTTTTGGGGTGAGATTAATAAGTTTAGGATGCCTAGTTAACGAATTGATTTGATAGTTAAAAATTGGAGAGGAGAGTTAATAAATGAAGAGTTAGAAGTATCAGGAAGATGTAGGGAATATTTTGAGGAATTGCTAAATGTTGATGAAGATAGAGAAGCTGTGATTTCGTGTATAGGGCAAGGAGGAATAACATCTTGTAGGAGTGAGGAAGAGTGAGTTATGAGTATGGGGGAAGATCGTGAGGCAGTGGGTACAATGAAAGGGGGTAAGGCAGCTGGGATTGATGGGATAAAGAGAGAAATAGCTAGCCCATTCAACTCACACAATGAGGTCCGGCGGTTCACTTCACCCGTACGGTAGTAAACATTAGAACGTGTTTCCTCAAGGCACGTGCTGTCCATGTTATCTTATCAGTAAAATGGGTACATGGGTCTAAGCCGACTGGTTTGGGTTGCATCCTGGGACAAAATTGATCTAATTTACCTGAAATGCTCTGCATAACAAAGGGCTTTCTAGAAATATAGTAGAAATGTCACTGATGTCAGCTATGATCCGTATACCTTGTACGTGTACTTGTAGAAATAAAGAAATTATTATTATTAAACATATAAATACCAGAGGGTTTTGGAAGTTATCGGAGTTATTTCATGATGCTTGGAATGGGTTCAACACCTTTGGTTATAGAGTACCTGCACTTGCTAAGTCTTCCAAGAATATTACTCTAATCGCTGAACAGGAGCCTTAGAAAAACTGAAGACGATTGAAAGAGAGTCAGCAGGAAGTTTGCGTCAATGGGGAGAAATGAGAATGGTGTGTATCACAAGTCGTGTTCCACAGGGGTCAGTGTTGGGCTCTTTGTTGTTCACAATTTATATAGACGACATTGATGAGGGAATAAATAGCGACATAAGCAAGTTTGCTGATGACACCAGAATAGGACGCCTAATTCATTCTAATGAGGACATTAGACCACTCCAGGAAGATTTTAATAGACTGATGCTGTGGTCGGAGAAGTGGCAGATGCAATTTAATATAGACAAATGCCAAATTCTAAATATTGGACAACCATGCCACATATAAATTAAATAATGTATATCTTATTACTGAATGCGAAAAGGATTTGGGAGTTCTAGTTAGCAGTAATCTAAAACCAAGACAACAATGCATAAGAGTCCTCAGGCTGTTCTTCAACTCTATGTATCTTTGTTGAGGCCTCATTTAGATTACGCTGCTCAGTTCTGGTCACCGTATTACTGAATGGATAATAATGTACTGGAAAACGTACAAAGGAGAATGACAAACTTGATACCATGTATCAAAAATCTTCCCAATGAAGATAGACTGAGGGCCCTGAATCTGCACTCTCTAGAAAGGCATAGAATTATTGGGGATATGACTGAGGTGTATAAATGGAAAACAGGAATAAATAAAGAGATTATAAATAGCATGCTAAAAATATCTAGCCAAGACAGGACTCACAACAATGGTTTTAAGGTGGAAAAATTCAGATTCAGAAAGGATAAAAAAAAGGGCACTGGTTTGGTAAATAGAGTTGTGGATGAGTGGAACAACTCCCAAGTACCGTTATAGAAGCAAAACGTTGTGTATTTTTAAAAATAGGATGGATTAATACATACGGTAATACAGACGGTAGTAATTCACTATATATGATGCTTTCATAATAAAGTTGTTAGCTCTGTCGGTGAGATGATATTACTCAAAACATCTCCAATCACCGAGACGTGATATTTAAATCACGTCATCAGAAAAAAATATTTATATTTGGGCGGAATCTGCTTAAAATTGTGTAAGAGTTTGAAAATAATAGAACAACCATTGTTTTTCACATCAAATTCACTAAACCATACATGATCTTAATTAAGTAAATTTTGATTGTAATGTGTTTACTGATGTACAGAGGAATAACTGGAAAGATAATGATTACTGAAGATTAGTGAAGTATGTTATTTCTCATTGGGGTCTGCTGCGATTTTCATGATAATTAATTATTTATTTTAGTTATATTACTATAAAGCTGAAACTAAATCTGAAAGTTGACGTCAACAGTAGAAGAGAACAAGTGTTCTTATTAGGAAG